CCCAACAAGAGTCACCTGGTGGAAAGGTACAAACTCTGGATGAGTTGTGCAGATCTCAAATTACAAGCTCTGCCTAAGGTCCTTCGGACCAGAGTAACTCCTCAGAGGATACAGAACTGCCCCAGGATCAGAGGACCACAGGCTGCAATGGGTTATTTTGTTCTTTTCATATTTCCAAAACTGAGGGCTGCATAAGGCAGTTATTAGATGCTATAGGAAATAAGAAGGTCAAATGGTTTCATTTAGCAGGGGAATGAAGCACCTGGAAGTAAAGCAAGGGCCACACATTGGGAAATTGATACAGGCACAAACCTAATTAAACTTAATCAAAATTAACCCCTGAGAGTGAATTGCAGACCATAGTAGGTGTGTCTTTGAAGATGATTTCTATCAAATGAGGTTGCTGTATTTAGCTCTTAAAATGTATTGCTAGAAAACAGACGTAATCATCCCAATTAGCCTTTATTAGTAGGATAGTTAAAATGGATTCTGATACCCTGCTCAGGTTTTAAAAGAGGCAGAGTGGAATTTTTTCCTTCCATTTGTATGTAAGTAGGAGATAATCAAAAGGTTTTCTGTGAGGACTGTCATGAAATGATACTTAAACACAATATTGTCAAGGTTGTAAAAGTCAGATCCCTTTACTTCTGGTTTGATTTTTATGTTTGCAAATTTAATATTTTTAATGGGTGATTTAACTATAACTAATGTTTTTACTCTTTTCTCCTTAAAAAGCTGGTATTGCCTTCTGTTGTCAGATATTGGCAATCTTATCTGGTAAGAAGATAGAAACTTCAAATCTTTCCAACGGCTTCTAGTTAAAACAATAGGAAAATGTCATGGTTTTGTCTCTTGAGCATGCACTGTCTCTTGAAATCAGTTATAGGTTCAAGAGTTGTATTTCCATTACTTTTCATCAGAACCATGGTTGTTTTAGGTTTCTTTTGAAATATTCTGCTAAAAGGCTACCTATGTAAAAGATACTACTTATATTAATCAATATGGACAAAATAATCTCTTGGGGGGGAGGTTTCAAACTGACTTGGTCAAGATTTAAAAGGGGTGCCCAGATATTGTAACTGATATCTTGAATGTTGTGTTTGTGTAGCACTTTGAAACATTTTGGGCTTAAAATTTGGAGTTCCTTTAAAGGATTGTTTTATAGTTTAAAAAAGAGAACTATTTAATGGTAGTAAAACTAATGCTTAAATAGCCTGTTTATTATTTCCTCACTTAAAATATTTGCTAGAATAGTTTCTCTTCTGAATGTGTCATTTCTTGCTAATAAGATCTATTTCAATATGCTCTAAAACAGCTTGCAGGTGTTGCTAAATTAAAGAGAGTAAAACTTGCTAGTGGCACTCTAGTACAAGACCTATAGTTACAGTATTCCTGCCTCTTATCTATGGAGAGAGAAAATTGCTTAGCATGGTGTCGCTGTTATGATTCTTAAAGTGATGCTATATTTTGAGTAAAGAATGATGTTTGGTGGGAGTCTGACACCTAACCAGCATGGGCTCCTTTGATAATACCATTATGTGCCTAAACACCTTAGGTCATAGATGCAGGGCGAGAAGTGCTGGCTTGATGTGATTTGTCACATACAATAGAGCAGATGTGGGTAATCATTTTAGATGGGGGTGGCACTTCACTAATTTTTGAAGTAGCCCTGGGCTGCCCTGCCTTATAGGGCAGGAGGAGATTTCACATGCTTCCCCCCCACCCCTAGGTCAATCAGGGCCTGGGGATGGGGTGGGGAAAAGCAGGGGAAGTCTGTCACTCCCTGTCCCTGCCCTGCAAGGAGTGCACAGGCTTAGAGTGGACCAGTCCAATTGGCCTGGGGATAGGGGGAGAGCAGGGCATCCACAGGCTGGATCCATGCACTTGGCAGGCTGGTTCTGGCCCAGGGAGGGGAGTTTCTCAAACTGGGGTCTGCGAGGTTACTCCAAGGGGTTTGCTGGCCCTGCTGACCTACTCCACTCCCTCCCTCCCTCCCAGTACCTCCTGCATGCCACAGAACAGTGTGTGGGAGGAGGGACAGAGCATGGTTGGGGGAGGGGTGAACAGAGATAGTGTGGGATCTGGGTCTGGGGCTAATCAGTGGACTCTGGGGGTCCATGAACATTTTTAAATCCAAATGGGAGTTGTTGGGTTGCTAAGAGTTTGAGAACCAGTGCTATGCAATATTTACCATTTGGTTCAATGGCTTTCAGCACCCCCACTATATAAATTGTTCCATTACCCCTGTCTTTGATTCTGGAAAACTTCACCTTAAACATAAGTTTAGGGGGCACCTAAGAGATTATCACAGAGCTTCAATTTTAGAATAACCTGGGCTGATTTATAAGCCAATCCACTGTTTCATGTACTTGTCTGAATTGCTGTCACTGACATGAATGATCTTTAATTCTCTTAGGCAAACTGAATTTTGCAAGTCAGTCTAGAAACCTGCTGGTATTTGTCACACAAGATACCATCCTGGTTTCTGAGAGGCCCTGCAAGAGAGCCATGGGGCGTACACTATTTCCAGCCCAAGCAGACATGCTTGCTCTCACTCTAATGGGGTGAGCATGCTAGGTTGAGTGTAACCATGACTGTGAGGTGTTAAGTGCACAGCTGGCTATGCGTTTTTTTTAAAGCATGTTAGCTTGCTCACAGCTAGCACAGGGATGTCTCCTCAGGGTGGAATTTACACCTCCAGCTCAACATACAGACTTACAGCCAGAGAAGAATTCATAACTGCCCAAAGAAGGGCATGTTAGACTTTCTACCTGTATTTTTACCAGTGGTGGTAGGAATTACTAGGAGGTGGAAGATAGGGAAAGTTGTGAGGATAGATGGCAACCTAGTGGCATGGTGAATTTCCCTGTAAATAGAATCTGGGAAGAATAAGATGGCTTAGTCTGGGGAAGAAAGGATAGCAATAGACAGACTACAAGCTAGCCCTTCTGGTCTAACACTCTTGGGAGCTGACTGGTCCCAGACCAGGGAGTTTACTAGAACAGGGGTGCTCAATGCTTCCCCTGCTGGCAACATATGGGCTGTGTCGAGACTGGTAAGTTTTTCCGCAAAAGCAGGTGCTTTTGCAGAAAAACTTGCCAGCTGTCTACACTGGCCACTTGAATTTCTGCAAGAACACTGACTTCCTACTGTCTGAAATCAGTGCTTCTTGCGGAAATGCTATGCTGCTCCTGTTCGGGCAAAAGTCCTTTGCGCAAAGCTTTTGCACAAAAGGGCCAGTGTAGACAGCTCAGATTTGTTTTGCCCAAAAAAGCCCCGATCGCAAAAATGGCAATCGGGGCTTTTTTGCAGAAAAGCGCGTCTAGATTGGCATGGACGCTTTTCCGCAAAAAGTGCTTTTGTGGAAAAGCATCCGTGCCAATCTAGATGCTCTTTTCCGCCAATGCGTTTAACAGAAAACTTTTCCGTTAAAAGCATTTGCGGAAAAGCATGCCAATCTAGACGTAGCCATGTGGTCCTGCTCCTGTTATGCTGGTTTTTTTCCCCCCTTGCATGTAGAATAGTGATAGAGATGTAGCCGTGTTAGCCTGGTGTGGCTGAAACAAAAAACAGGACTATGTAGCACTTTAAAGACTAACAAGATGGTTTATTAGGTGATGAGCTTCTGTGGGCCAGACCCAAAAAGTGGGTCTGGCCCATGGAAGCTCGTCACCTAATAAACCATCTTGTTAGTCTTTAAAGTGCTACATAGTCCTGTTTTTTGTTTCAGCCACACCAGGCTAACACGGCTACATCTCTATCACTATTCTACATGCAAGGGGGGAAAAAAACCAGCATAACAGGAGCAGGACCACATGGCTACGTCTAGATTGGCATGCTTTTCCGCAAATGCTTTTAACGGAAAAGTTTTCTGTTAAACGCATTGGCGGAAAAGAGCATCTAGATTGGCACGGATGCTTTTCGGCAAAATGAAGGGTATAAAGAAGTCTAATCTGATGCTTAAACTGGAGACTTTTAGCCTCTGCAAAGCCCAGAACTGCCTTAGGCTAGGAATGATGAAGAAAAAATCATAACTTTCATTTTCTTTTTAAATACCCCTTCTTCTCTTGAAGATTACACTGCAAACAAATCAATATAAAGATCTATCAGCTGTTCACTAGAATTTAAAAGAAAGTAGCTGTGCTTGTTTCCTTTATGCAGAAGACTGGGGAAGAAGAGGAGGACCTCAGATACTCCCAAGGGATTCACCTCACATAAAAATATATATTTTTTTTAATTGAGGATCATTTCAGAAAAGCACTTTACTAATCTCTTCAGAATCCTTAGGACTGCTCAATGCACCATAACATAGCAATTGTCTGTGAGTGGGCAGGTTATGTTCAGTTTGGCCCACTAAAATGCTAAATCTAGACCACTCTTTCTCTCTCCTTTCCCGTTGTACCAGAACAAGGCCACTTAGAACACTGGCAAATGTTAAATAGTCAAGTCTTATGAGAGAACCTGATTTAAAACCGTTGGAACTTGCTGTAACTGGATGAAATTAAGAATTTGCTATAAAGACTAGTTCCAAGTCAAAAGAGTCAAGTACAGCTGCAATTGTCTGACATGCTACTGGATGAAAGCAGAAGTTGAACATGTCCAGGAAATCCTAAAAGATACTTTGTAAATTCCTGAATAACTATTCTGCTTACTTTTAGTATATTTGTGCTTATATGGCAAATACAATTGTGCCCTAAATAAAATGCATCTACTTAAAGATCAGAACTTTAATGAGACTTTTGACTTCTGGAAATAAAAATGTTAGTTGTTAAAAATAACCACAGAGTAAGTCAAATTTCTTTAAATCTTTAGCTTGAGTTTAATTATTTTCAACTAAGATTAAAGTAAGACTTGTAAGAAAATGCTCAAATATTATCCAAGTTTTCAGACTACAATTATCTCTTGCAGTCTATAGACTGCTGAAAAGAATAAGCTTAACTCAATATTTGACTTCCAGGTTCTCTCTCCCCTTCAGGCACTTTTGAACAGGGAAATCAATGATGTCTTCTGAAAATGGAACTAACAAACGTCATCATAACCCTGTGGACAGCATTTGCCGAAGGATCAAGACGATCCAGATGATGGACCAAGTCTCAAATCCCGCTTTACAGATCCCAAAGTTTCAGTCTAGGAACTTTGACAGCCCACAAACAAACATCAAGAAAAACTTAGAGGAGATATTGAAGAAAAGGACATTTAAAAGTCATGAGAGTAGTGGGCCATGTTTCCTAAGCCCCAATAGTGACAATGTTTTTTCTCCATGTCCACAGGCCACAAGCTCCAGACGACGCATGTCTGACTTACGCACTGGCAATGCAACCTATTCTATTGGCAAAAATAAAGAGAGGACTGGCAAGGCATGGCTACCCATGTGCCAAACTGAGACTTCTCCATCTCACCTCAAAAGTGGAGAGGCTAACTTTCATATGGGTCCGCTAAGGGCAGTTTCTAATATCCAGTATAAAGACTTGCCTAATGAGGATAACTACTTTACATCAAGTCCAAATTTGCCTTTCTTAACAACTGTCCAAAAGGCGGAATGTTTTGCGTTCCAATCTCCTGTGGTGAAGAGACTGTCCTTGAGTGAAAGAGGTAAACTGTTCCAATAAACACACCAAGTAGCCAACTTTCTTTTCACCATACACAAATCCTATCTTGCCTAATGATGGCTGTCTGAAATGATCAAACTTAATTCTTTAAAACATCCTGAAATTCAGCACTGGGGGGGCTTTTGGACCCAGTGAGCCTGTGATCTTTCTTCTCTTTATGCAGACCTAGTCTAGAATCTCCTACTCCATATGCTATGTCCCTGGGCATACAGAGTATACAGCATGGCCATGTTTGGTTCCCAAATCTGCCAGTTAAAATGCATGGAAAGGCCCTGTTCACTTCAATAGGTCTATGCACAAGTGCAGGGGTCCGCCTGATGTTAGCTGTGTGATCAAAGGCATGCTGTTTAGATGACGACACCTCTGGGAATGACATGTAAATGTACACTGTTGTAAAAACAAAAATGTAGCTAAGTCATAGTAACTAGAAGAGAATTAGATGGAGTACAACCTGTTTATCCCCTGTAGGATGGAGACTATCATGGGTGAATAAAGCTGACAACACCTACGATGTGAGCTTAATCTGTGAAGAAGACTTGTTGACCACTATCTTCTGTGCCTGTGACACGGAACGCAGAGGTACTTCAACTTTTTCTCGCCTCCCATTTACTCTGCCTCTTGCTAAATGAATTTCAAGCTTCAGGTTTTACTAGAATCTCTTAAAAAATATAATCTGTGTGGTATGTATAGAAACAGGATGGTCTCATGGCTAAATCAAAGGATTAGTAGCCTGGGGATCTGGTCTTCCCTAGAATGGCAAAGTTAGTCAACTAGCGCCTCTCTGCCCTTGTTTTACAGATGGGGGAAACAGAGGCAATTGCCAACCTGAGGCCAAAAAAAAAAATTGTAAAACACTTTGCGATCATCTGAAATCTCATAAAAATGTGAATTGTAACACTGTCAGTGAAGTAATAAGTCTTTTCTTAGAAGTTCTAGCTTGCCCCCTTGTCGTTGTATTTAGAGCTACTTACACTTCTTTGTACGCTTTTTTTAAATAAATAGCTACTGTGACCAAAACGTTTGTGGAAAGAAAGTCTTCATTTTGGTTGAAATTTGATGTGTTTTTGTTTTGTTTTTTTAATTGGTGGGAGGACTAGGGGCTAGGGAAGGTAACTAGCCTGTTGGCTCTGGATAGAATTACCTAACAGAATAAAAGACTGACTTGCACTGCTTCCTTAAAGGAAAATGCTCAGATGCATGTATTAGTCGGTTAAAATCCCAGCTCGTTATTGTCTACGGAAATATAGCTTTGGGCTGTGGATTTATCTCAGAAGTCTTCTCTTTTCATATAAGCTCTGAAACTTTCTTTTTTAACTTGGCTTCTGCCTTCCAATGTCACTAAAAGCAGTTCTGCTCTGGAGCTCCACAAATCACTTATACATGCTACTGCTTAGATTCAGGTGTGCTAAGAACATATTCCAATCACCTTATTAGAATTTATTGCCTGTGTACAATCATCTTGACTCTCAAAATCTGGTATGAAGACTGATTGTATTTTTAAGGAAAAGTGGCAGTTTCCAAAATAGTTGATTATCTGAGACATACAACTAGCCGGGGGTCAGAAGACAGTGGTCTCGAAGAGCTGTGCAACATGCTTGATCCTGATAAAAGGGACATCTCGATGGACCTGGAAACATACCATGCTATCATGAAAGAATGGATTGAAGACTGTAAAAGAAAATGGTAACAGTCTGACTATCTTGTCTTATAACCTCACAACATATCTTATATCAAGATGAGACAGTAAAATAATTTGTTCAGATTGCAGTACTAATACACCCAGTGTATGTTAGCATCAGGGGATCATACAACAAACAGGGTGGCTTTTGACCCCACCTCTTCCTACATAACTTTTTTAAACAGAATAAAAAATCAAAGGTGTCGCTATCTTAAGGAGTAGGAATTGGTAGTCTAGCTGAGACCTGACTAGTTCTGGGTACCACATTTCTCCAATTTGTCCACATCTTTCCTGAATATCCAGAGAAGAGCAGCAAAAATGATTCAAAGTCTAGAAAACCTAACTTATGAGGAAAGATTGAAAGAACTGGGTGTGTTTAGTTTGAAAAAGAGAAGACTGAGAGGGGACATTATCTTTTAGGTACTTAATGTTACAGGGAGGAAGGCCAAGAAAAAATAAATCTCCCATCTTCAGAGGTTGAGAAGCAATGGGCTTAAATTGCAGCAAAGGAGGTTTAGATTGGGCATTAGGAAACACTGTCGGGGTGGTTAAACACTGGAATAAAATTCTTAGGGAGTTTGTGGAATCTCCATTGTTTTGTAGATGGGTGTTTTTTTAAAAAGGGTAGGCTAGACGGATGTCTGTCAGGGGTGATCTAGATCAGTGTTTCTTAAACTTTTTAAGACCAAGAAACACCAAACAATTTATTTTTATGTATGTATGTATTGTGGAACACCAAGGATTTTTTGGGGGGGGGGGGGGGGGAGAAGGGAGGGAAAGTCAGGGGAAAGTTATTGTGCACCCAAAAAAAACCCTGCCTTGTGGCACACCAATGTAACACAGAAAACCATTTAAGAAACTGATTTAGATGGTGCTTGATTCTGCCATGAGAACAGAAGCCTGGACTCAATGACCTTTCGATGTTCCTTCCAGCTCTTGTATTCCATGAGTGAGTCTACACAGCACCCTAAACTCGAAATAAGATATGTAATTTGAGGTACACAAAGCGCATATCTTACTTTGAATTGGTTTCGAAATAGCTTACTTTGAAATTTGGTATGTCTACATGGTGCTAAATTTCAAAATAACGTGCTATTTTGAAGCCTCCCTTAAGCATCCCTTACAGGGATGCCGAAATAGCACACTTGTTGTTTCGAAAAATATTTCAAAATAAGGGGCAGCTTGTGTAGATGTGGGGTAGCTATTTCGGGATTCCTCCAGTATCCTGAAATAGCCGTGCAGTGTAGATGTACCCCATGAATATATTATTGGGGCATGTATAGTAAGGAACTTGTATTTTTTTTAATAGGGTGAGTGTTAACTATTGGCTGTGTAGGAGGGCTAGAATTGACCTATATTTTGAGTTACTTTCAGTTGGTTTATTTCAGGGAAGATACCTCAAAGGAGATAACCACAAATACAGAAGACCCTGCCTTTAAATTGCGTGAAGGCATTCTAACAGGTATGGAATATTTCATTCTTACTATGAAATACTTGACTTTTTTTTTTCTGAAACTAAAACTGAAAAAAATATCTTTCAGCAAAAAGAACTCCTGCTCAGATAAACATTACATCAGGAAGTTTAGAAGCCATAGGTGGAGATGTGTCCAGAGGAGACCTGTAAGTTTTAGTCCTTTTCTTAAACCTCATACAGGTGTTTAATAGGCCACAACTCTCTTCTGAAGCAGTGGATTATGGTTCAAGAGCATTCCTTAGCACTATTGCTAGCAGCGGGTCTCACGTACTTGGTTGTGCCTCCTTTATCTGACAGCAGCCACCACTTTCTGGCTACCTAGCTCTGAAGGCAGACAGGAGAGTGGCAGCTCCTGGTTCGGAGCCCAGTTTTACAAGCAGTGCTGCAGCCACACTAAGTATGGGTGGCAATGCCCTACCATGCTACCCTTATTTCTCAGCTTCTGCTGGCAGCAGTTCTGCCTGCACACCTGAGTGCTGAGCCAGCAGCTGCCACTCTCCAGCTGCTCGGATCTCAATATATACAATAAGCTGGGGGTGGGGAGGCGCGAAGGTTATTCCCATAAGCTTCTCATGTGCCCCTTCCCCCTCCCTGCTTTGGGAATCGCTGGTTGTTAAACCCTCTTTGGGCTTGTGAAAACATGATTACCCAGAACTTGTTAACATTAACACGGGTTTTACTCTTGAGCAAAGTTCTATACATATGCTGTTCATAAGCCTGCTTGTAACTTACACTGATTCTTCTTGTACTGTTTGCTGTACTGAACGTTTGCCAATTCAACTTTGGCTTGCTAATGTTCACTGATGAGGATTAGCAATGCGAGTTTTGTTCTCGTTCTTTCCACGTCTGATACTACTACTTTTTATATGAATTATTTAGAGTATCATCTCAGGGTGCCCCACCCTTAGTTCTGTTAGGTTTTTTTTTATTACTCTCTGGATTCCACTAATGAACAGCACCTAACAAATCACTACGTACCAAAAGCACTGATTTTTTTTGCATTCACCTTGCCTTTCAAAATTGTGTCCTCATCTGAAGACCCAGTTTAGGCACACATCTAGCTTTGGACTTCTCACTGCTGTCAGTTTTTAGAAACATAATTTTTTCCTAGCATACAGTACAAGTTGCCATTAGCTACTTTCTCATGAAAAGTCATCAGATGCCAATGCCTCTTTATCCTGTGAACAGTTGTACATTGAATATAGCCCCACTAATAAGATTACTTATGAATAACTTTACAGACTTAAGTATAATATAGGTTCAAGGCCTGGTGTGGTTGTTTATGGGGGTTTTTGTGTGGGTTTTTTTTGGGGGGGGGGGTTGGTATGTTAATGGTAGCATTAGAACAATTGCCTACAAACAAAACAAGGTAATTACCAGCTCTGTGTGACTTGTCTGAATGCAATTCTTCTATTCATATTTTACTTTCTTGGAAGATGCATGCTGAGAAACATGAAATTCTGATTAGCTCTTCTTTATTGACTACAGGGAGACCTCTGACTTGATTACCTGTGTAGCAGACCTTCAATTCAAGAATCAGAAACTTCAAGAGGAGAACAGAAAACTAAAGATGACAGTTGACACACTGGAGGAAACCAATAATAGGCTAATGGAGGACCAGGAGGATCTACATACTCAAATAAAAAGGTCCATAATTTTCAACACTTGCCATCCAGAAGTGGTGACCCTTCTCATGCTGGGTCTGTTGCATTTAATCTAATAAAACTGGAAATATTTTTTTTCTGAACAATAGCTGTGATAATGGAGGAGGAAGGAATGGGAATTCTTCCTCTGTTTTCCTTAGTTTGGTATTTGGTTTGACTCTTTGTAGTTAGACTTTTTTATTTAAATGTTCGGACAACTACAGGTGGGGACTGTTAGATTTATGCTTGTCCTACTACGCTGCCTCACAGCCTTTGTGGGGAAAGCTAGGTAACTTGGTCCAGATCAGCAAAAGGGAGATAGGTGTTGTGGTAGTAAGCACCACAATGCTTGCTTTTTAGTGCTTGGGAAACCACTGGATCAGTGAGAGGCGTAAAGCTTGAGTTATGCACCTTGGCTTCCTTTCCAATAGAGAGGGAGTGGTCGATGGGTGAGGCAGAGAGTGAGCTAGCTTGCTAATGGAAGCAGCTGGCAAAAGGTGAGATGTTCTAATGCTCTCATGGTGCTAGATTCTAATCTCTGTTTTCAATCCTGGAGCCAGGCAGTATAAGTGCCTAGCTTCTCTCTTCTTCTTAACCCCCCCCCCCTCCAAAATCCAAGAAAACGTGGTGATTGCTGAACTCAACACAACACAAAAAAGGACCAGAGGGGACATGGGGAGGTGGGAAATGAAAACCTCACTTAGCTCAGGGGTTCATGTACTTAGCTAAGATGTGGAAGATTGTGGTTGAGTTCTTCCACTCCCCCAGAGAAGGGATTTGAACAAACACTCAAGAGATGAGGACTGCTAAGCACTGGACTCGAGTGATTTTTACTCCTCCAGGCCCCATTAGTATTTCTAAGGTGGAATAACATCAAAGTTACTTATATCTGACTACTACATAGTCCTGCAACCAGAAAACTCCTCTCAGAAGTGGGGAACCCCTGTTCAAATTCCTTCTGATCAGGCAGTGGGGAGAATCTGAACTGGGGTCTCCCACCCAAGATGTGGGAATCCTAATTCTATTGAGCTAAAGGTATGGCCCCTCAGTCATTCTGCATGCAGTGAAGCATGCTCGGTGCATGTCACGTGTATCAGGCCCCACAGACAAAATAGATACTCCTCTGCCTATCTCTCTTCAGCCTGTGGATCATATTGGGGCTTAGGTATAAAGACCTCTAGAGTGATGCAGCAGTGTGTGTGTGTCCAGAGGTGGAAGTTTGGGCAGTTCAAGGAATTTTTACAGGGTTATGTGTCAGCTAAGAGCAGTTTTTGTAGCTCAGTTAGTTCTGGAGGCTGGGACTTTGCCTACCTCCATGATTTTTTTTCCCCTTAGGTCTGAGTCCTTTCTCTCTACCTCCAGAATGGTAGCTACCATATGTGCTTGAAAAGGTCCTATTTGTGTAGCGATAGCAGGAAAAAGTTACGCAACTAGGTGTTCCCATCAACATAGAGAAATATTGCAGGAAAATGATGATCAATCTAGAGTTTTGGCAAAAACAAGACCTTGTCAGTGACCCTGGAAACTATGGTCTGGTCATGTGGCCTTTGTTAGATAAACACTTGCAAAGGAGGAGTATGTTTGTAATTAGTTGCACACATGATCATAAATTGTAAGTTGCATGTGATCAAAGAGCAAGTCTATAGAGGCTCACACAGTTCATTAACTATTCTTCGGCTGAGTGAAGGTAACAAATGCAGCAGAGGCTCTGGTGGCATGGCAGGAGGATGAAGAAGTAAACAGGAATGAAACCTTCCATAAAAGGTCATTACTTAACCAAAAGTGCAGGATTAACCCTCACTAAACTGGCAGACAGTTGCTGTCTGCCTTAAAGTATGCCCAAAAAAGAGAGTCCCGAGGTATCTTACTGTGTCCACAAATACTACATACATTGTAAGCTTTAAAATTCTAATGCTTGTAACTTTGCTGGATTCTTCTTTCTGCAGTGCCCAGCAGTCGGTTATGAAAGCAAAATCATTAAAGGAAGAACTGGAAGAAATGAAAATTAACCTGAACACCTCAGAAGAGAAGAGACTCAATATTATGACCCAGCATAAACAGCTAGTAGGTCCTCTAATAATAAGCTTCTAATTATCAAAATCAGGAAACTGCGTCCCCTTAATATTGCTGATAGTTCATGTAACTTTGGAGATAAAATTCTCATGTCTTAACTTTTGCCTCTGATTTGTTAACTGCCTCTTTACAACCTCCTCAATTTGGGGCACAGTGACTGAAACTTTTGTTTGTGGCTTTGTTCCTCCATTTAATTCTCTAACCCTGTCTGGAAGGGACATTGTTGAGGAAGGCTAACCTTGTAAGGCACAGCATTGGTTACTTGGAACTTCTATATTCATGCACCTTGCTCTGTTGACTTGGGTCCTGGTTCTCCTGTGTCTTGCCTTGAAGTCAGTAGAATGATATTTGTATAAAACTGGTCTGAGACGAAAACTTCACTGTCCATTCTGTATAATCTGAGAAACTACAGCCCAACATTGCAGAGAGGTATTAATCAGTGTTTATAAAGCACTTATAAAACCTTCCATGTCAGGATCTCTACTTCCAAGTGTTATGGTAAAGTAAATAATGAAGAAATACTTACAACTGTCCCTGTTGGCACTTGAGAAATCCTCTTGGTTTGCATACATCTAAATACAGGACTGAACCTTCTGTACAATCTGTAGCCCGGCCTGTTTTATTAAATGAATTGATCTCCTATGAAGCTCTTGTGGAACCTGAAATTCAGGCTAGTGTTCTCTGGTCCCCACAAGAGAGATTTTTGCAGCTAGCCAGTCTGAGATCCAAGTCCTGTGTTAGTGATGCCTGGGTCTTGATCTGGACCTCCCCATACCTATGAATTCCTCCATAATGCTGAGTGTGGAGCTGTTAAGTTTTCTCCCCATGATGCCTGTAGAAATAGACTAGAATTACTAAAACTTCATTATGCAACAAAAAAGGGGGGGGGGGGAAAGATCCCTGCGACACTTATTACAGGAAAATGTTGTGTATTCCAATCCTTTAGTAGGATACGATGGTCAGTGTTCATCATTACGTTGCATGGTATCAGCAAGGCAAACCTCATTTAATGTCATTCTAGACACCTAATCTATGTGGCTCCTTCAGTTACTGGCTCACCAGATCAAGATAGAGTAACTTTGAAACTCTGTTCACCCAAGTAATTTGATATTGTTCTATGTCAGAAGTGAATGTAACTTAAATTTCTTACAGGTACTCTTTTGTATTGCCCCTTGTGCAACACACAGTGGGGGGATGTCAGGGTAGGGGATGTGGGAGAGAAGCAGGAGTCAAGGTGGGGGGTGAACAGGGACTTAGGAAAGGGAGCTGAGGGTATGTATGTGGGAAGGGGGTGTAAGGGGCACAGGTTTTGTTTAAAGGAACTGAAACTCCCTCTCCCCCCTGAGACTTTGTACCAGGACACAGCTTGCCACTCCCCCTTCTCATCACTCTTGGGGTGAGGGGGAAGCTCACAGCATGGGTCACATGCTCATCTGCCCCCTCCCCTCACCAACCAGGGAGAAGAGGAGTGTAGGCAGAGTGAGTGGGGAGGGGAACAGCAAGCAGCATCCTGGTAAGAACCTGTGGGGAGGGAGGGCTTCAGCCTCCCTGCCTTCCCTGGTGGGGGCTCAGGGCTGAGGCAGTCCAGACCAGTGGGGAAGGCATGCCCACCAGCTGGCCACTTTAACCCACCTAGGTGCCTGCTGCTTGGTGACACAGCCTGCAGGAGAGCCCCAAGATCCCAGTTGGGAGTATGCCACATCACCTCCCACAGCGGAGCACCCCATTTGGCCAGCTCCTTCTTGCTGTAACGGTGCACCAGCCTGCACCAGCTTATTGTCGCCTCTTCCTATGGCTAGTAGAAATAATACTGCCTTAAAGTGTGGTGAGCTGACCCTTCCCTTGCTCTTTTTAATCAGGAAAAAGAGAATCAGTCTCTCATCATCAAGATCTCCTCTCTTCAGGAAGAGGTAGAGTATCTGTGTATTCAGCTCTTTAAACTCCATGTCTGTGGAATGGATTTTTTTTCCTGTGTTCAAGCCTGAACTGTTGCATCAAATGTAACCAGTGTTGCTACAACTGAAACTTCATAGTGAGCCATGAGTCTCCAAGATGAGCTGCATATCCGATCCACCTAGGACCTGCCTTTCATGTACCTTGGCATTTACAGGATTCCTAATGCTGAAGTCCACTTTGTATCCTAGGGGACACTTGATGTGGGTGAAGGGAATTGTGAGAAGAGAATAATACATTAATAACTTCCCATCACTAATAGTATATGCGTAGTGGGAGTTAATATATTGCATAACATATATTGGCTAACACTGAGGGGGGGCATTCAGTGGTATGTATGGTTACAGCATGTGTAGACATACCCACAGAAACTTCAGTGTTGCTATTATAAGTATGAAACCATAGCAGCACAAACTTCAGTGTAGGTTAGTCACCTGAGTGTGTACCCAGGGTTTGAGGTGGGCTTATGCTGCCACAGCTTCCCTGCTATTGGAAAGTAGGTAAATATAAGGCTAGTTTGGAGCAATTCCTAGATTGCACCAAACTTTACTGTGTCTCAGTTTTGAGAGCTGCCCAAATCTTTCGCATTGGGAGGGGCAGGAGATTCAGTTGGGAACCTGATCAAAGTGCCTTTAATGGAGGAGGTTTATAATATACAGGAGATCCTAGCAATTCTGTGAATTGTGATTTGTATTTGCAGATGCCTCCCGGCCTTGGGGTGGGTGGGGAGGAGGTGTGGCTCCTGGCCCTTTTGGTGAGCTCCAAGTGTTCACAAATTTCACCATTTGCAATGGTGCAAGGAATGCATCCGCTATGAATGGGGAGTATTTCCTCAAGGCAAAACTTTCAGGATTGTGTTGGTATAGAGAGAATGCCAATCAAAGTACTGTGGTATCATGGGAGAGGGGAGGAGGAGGAAAGAAATCAGGGTTTGGATGGTGTGGGGACATTGACCATTTCTCTTCTCCTTCCCCTGTTGGAGTATCTTGGAGGAGCCAGTCTGTAAGGAGTGGTTTGAGGGGAGGAAATCTAATTTGATCTCTCTCTGGCCAGCTCATCCAAAATAGTATTTGATAACTCTTCTTAGTTTGCATTTTGATCAGGATATTAGGAATGCCTTGGATATGGATGGCCTTCAGAAGAAGATTGTGGAGTTATCCAAAAATGCAGCTGAGCTCCAAGTAAGCACTTAAATTTAACCTCCTAACCATGGATAAGAAACTGTCCTTTAATGTTTGTTCTGAGTTCCACAGCTCTTTGACACAATCTGCCATCACAAGTTGTGATGTGCTAGCTGCAGCCTTGATTATGGATAGTGCTATTGGGCTCCTAGAAGTCTCCCTGACCATCTTCTTTCTTTCTCCTACTGCAACTGCCCTGAGAAGAATTCTTGCCCATACTAGTTAAGGACATAGTGTTAGAAACCATAAAAAAGTAAAGCACAGTGTAAATGGGCTGAGGGAAACAAATATTTTTGTGGGCGTTTCGAAGCTCTCAAAGGGTAAGTACCTTCCCCAACAATTATTGGGGGAGGGAGAATGCATTTCCTATCCTGAGCGCTTGTCTCAACTGAAGTTGTAGTATTTTTTTGTAAATGCCTGCCTCGTGTAATATTTATATAGATTATGATTTAAAGACTTTTAATGCTCCAGGATGGCTACAAGATCAGTACCTACAAGCAATGATTCTCAACCAGGGGTACACAGAGGTCTTCTGGGAGTAGAGGTTGCCTAATTTTACAATGGGTTACATAAAATGCATTAACAAAGTCAGTACAGACTAAACTTTCATACAATGAATTTTCTCCTACTTTTAATACCATACACTGAAATATAGTTACAATAGTTCTATTCCAATTGATGATTTATATGGTAAAAATTAGACTGCCATTTGTCAGTAAGTGTGGTCTGACACTTGTATTTTAGGTTTTTTTTTTTTTTTTTTTTTTTTTGGTAAGCAAGTAGCTCTTAAGTGACAACTAACGCATGGGCAGGTGAAAAATCAGACTCCTGAAAAGAATATTGCATTCTGGAAAGATCTGAGTCACTGACCTAGACCATAATATGGTTTATAAATAATAGCCAGCATTGGTTTGGCATGGTTTGTTCTTGACAGACCCATCTAATTTTCTCCTTTGAGACCACTACTGGGCTAGTAGATGGGGAGAAAGCTGTATACTTAAATTCCAATTGTAGAAAGGATTTTGACAAAACTAGGGAAGTGTGGTGTGGCTTGTACTCAGAGTAGTTCTCACAAGCTCGCTATGAAACTGAAGGAGGAGTACCTAGTGGAGTCCCACAAGGATCACTCCTGAGTCTGCTTGTAGTCAATATTTCCATTAATGACTTAAATAATAGAAATTGTATATACAACCACCTGGGAGGCATTGCTAGTGCTCTGAAGGACAGGATTAGAACTGAAAACAGCCTTGACAAATAGGAGAACTTGGTCTGAAAACCGCCAGATGGCATGAGTCTTTATAAATGTCAAGTACATCACTTTGGGAAGGAAAAAGTCAAATGTGTAATTACAAAATGGGGGAATAGCTGGGTAGGTGGCTGTAGGGCTGAAAAGGATCTTGGCGTTATAGTGGTTCATATAGGTGTGGGCTTGTTTGACTCCACTCAGGACCAGAGCTCTGCTTTACACCATAGCACAAAGACATATATGATGAAAATGAGAATAAGTTTGTCAAAGACGAGAGATTCCAGAGCTCTTGAGGCAGAATATGAGAAATAAGTGGCTATATGTGAAACACAAACATTTAGCTAAGAGATTAATAAATGTCCTACCTATTTTTTTTTTCCCCCCCCAATCCTCTGTAGCACTTTCAGTCCAGGCTGGTGGAGACTCTGCTTTCATGAATGCAAATGTACTGTCTGTTTACTTTCTAGGCGCAGGATAATGCACAGCCAACTTTGCCTTCTAGAAGTACCTTCCTTCCCTCCAAGTTCACTGTCTTCTTTCACTGACAGGACTGTTCCCCTTCCCTCCTGCTTTTTCTTCTGTGTGCTTCTCTCCTGTTGACTTCACCTCTTTTGTTAACATTTCACATTGCATGAAAATAGGCATCCATTGTGTTAGTTTACAATGCTTAATTTATGTTCATTTGCAGAGCGGTATATTTCTTACCTTCTGACTAGAGGAAAACCAGTTATTTAACTCTACTGGTGGCTAAATCTTGATGCAGACTTTAAAAACATATATTCAGTATATGGACAGAACTTCTGACTTAATATAGTTGTGAAAAGTATTGTGGATAATAATGACCAGTATGATACTGGCTTTCATTTGAGACCTCACAATATGATATTCTGGGATGAACTAGAATTTGTACACTGGAGTTATGAGACACTTTAGCCACTCTGCATTCTGTTGCCAGTTGCCATCAAGAAGTTCTTGGGTCACCACAGATACTTGTGATGCAGTTTTCCCCTTGTCATTAGCTGATGCAGCTAAAATTGTAATAGAGCGCTTCAATTTTCATGTCAATAAAAGGCTATTCTCTCCTCTTGTCCTCACTTCAGATGCAGGTGCATGTTTATGAGAACACTGTGGCGAATAAAGATGCAAGTCTATTAAAGGTTGGTAGCTTGTGTGTCCTGAATGTATTGATTGAAATTTTTGAACACTTTAACTTATGGGAAAAGCTAATGAAATCATTTTATTATATTTTAATACTCTTCTGTACAGTAGTACCATACTCCATTACTTTATTGGCACTGTTCTAATGGAATAGATACTCATAGGTAAGGGCATTGGAATTTGGCCCTAAAGGGGTCTGTTTATATCCAGCAAACTACAAAAAGAGTAGGAAAGGCTTCTTTTTTTTTTTTTTTTTTTTAAGTAGGTGGGGAAAAAACATGTATGCCCAACAAATGATCTTCTGGGAACTGGATAAAACAAGGCAACTTGCATCTTTGTTAATCTTTAAGGTGCTACTAGACTATTTAAGTTTTCCCTGTTAGATTAACTTGGCTACCCCTCTGATGTATCTCTTTAAAACCCAGCTTTAGTTATAGGGAATGCAAATATAATATTGAGGTCCAGGGCTGTCTTTTGGCTTCTAAAATCTTGATCCATATGTATTGGATCCAAAAGCTTTCTGACTATCAACACTTCTATGACAAGGAGTGCACATACATGCTGAATGTGACAAAAATGATTCCAATTAAAAGCCAACATACCCAATAAATACTGCAGTAGCCAGTTAGTTGTTGCTCAGAATGGAAAAGACAAAATTCTAAAATATCCTTAATTGTGTTGATTCACAGCCTGAGACTCAAGTTTCTGGCCCCCCCCCCCCCCCGATCATCCAGTCAATTGACCAAATAGAAACTGAATTGTGAATGCAAGCTAGTGGGTTGAGTACTCTTGCAGGGGCAATCCACAGAGGAATTTGCGAAAATTATGTTAATTTGGATAAAAGGAATGTATTAGAGAAAATTATTATTTGCTTGGCAACCTTGACACTTCCAGCAGGTTGTACTAATCACAAAGTAAACTCTTATGTTGCCATTTGCATAAAACTGTATTGGGGAAATACAGTTAACTGTAACTGCAGCAACATGTTAAACACAACTGTTTTCTCCTAGGCTGCATCCACAGGAAATGTGTGAGGATGAAAGTTAAACTGAACTCTGTTTTGTTTTGGTAACACTTTTTTTTTTCAGTGTTAAAGGCTTAAAACAGCTTTTTATAGCAACTTCATTTTCTTTGCTCATTGGTGCTTAGGGTCTCAGTCCAGTTATCACCTTTAACAAGTACTCTGGGGCTGTGTCTACACTGGGCCACTTATTCTGGAAAATCAGCCGCTTTTCCGGAATAAGCTGCGAGCTGTCTACACTGGCCCTTGAATTTCCGGAAAAGCAACGATGCTCTACTGTACAAAATCAGCCGCTATTCCAGAAAAACTATTCTGCTCCCGCTCGGGCATAAGTCCTTATTCCGGAACACTGTTCCGGAAAAGGGCCAGTGTAGACAGCCCAGTAGTCTTTTCCGGAAAAAAGCCCCGATCGTGAAAATGGCGATCGGGGCTCTTTTCTGGAAATGCGCATCTACATTGGCCACAGACGCTTTTCTGGAAAAAGGGCTTTTCTGGAAAAGCAGCCTGCCAATGTAGATGCTCCTTTTCCGGAAAAACTGAAAACGGAATAGTATTCTGTTTTAAGCATTTCCGGAAATTCATGCCAGTGTAGACACAGCCTGGCAGTTTTAAAATAATAAAAAGGGGCAATGATTTGTACTAAAATATAATTCATGTTCCTGCTTTAAGGAATGCTCTGTAGCTGAGCTCCCGAGTATGAACTATGAATGTAACTAAAACATCTTTGAAATATGCTTAGCCATATAAGCAAGCAGTAAGTAGCCACTTTAACGAATTCCACATTTAAACATGAAATTTAAAACATTACCTTTACTTGATTTGATTTTGCATTTGTGTAGCTCTCTTCTCTGAGCCCACACCTGTAGAGATCTGAACTAAGGAAGACAGATTGCATAATGTTTATGAACAGAGCCGTAAGACTGAAACCAGCCGTGGTATAAATTTGTTTCTCCAAGCCACCAAAGATTCATGAGCATAGTTACAGTAGTGGTACAGTTCTGTACAAGGTATACACTGGCTATGTAGCTTGTTTATACACACCAGATGTGTTCCTCGTAAGTTGCTTTGGCAGGTATGGTCGAGGTTCTTTTAAATAAGGTACCTTGCACATAGTGCCACCTAGTAGCTGAAGAGTATAATAATCTTGCATTCTATTACAGCCAGTAGTTACCTTCAGTTTTGTCCCCATCTCTGAGTTCCTGTAAGAGCTCTTAAAGTATATGAAATAGGCTAAATGTGGGAGATACTAGTACATCACATGGTATTTTTCTTAATCTATACCTTAAAAAGAAAATCCACAGTCGTATGAACACGAGTTTTTGAAAATTTAAGTGTAGGAGTGTAGATAAAATCCACATATTACTTGCATCTGTAAAATGTAGGTTTAAAAAAAATCAGTACCAGACAAAATACACTGACTCTCAGGAATGTGAATAGAGGATGTGTCAAAAGATCTCCAAATTTTGCTCCCCATTTAGGGTTTCCTCAATCCCTCTCTTTTTTTTTTTTTCTTCCACTTCTCTGGGAAAGTGGGTTTTGCCCATGAAAGCTTGTGTGTGTGTCTCTCTCTCTCTCTCTCTCACACTCACTCACTCACTCACTCACTCACTCACTCACACATATATATATATATATAAATAAAATGTGTTAGTCTCTAATGTGCCATAGGGCTATTTGTTATTTGTCTAGGCATGAAAAATCAACCAAATGTATAAAATTGTGATGAAACATTCCTCGATTTGCCCACCTCTCTAATAGCTGTGCTCTCACCTCTTTATGAAGCACTGAAACATCCTAAAGTGCAATCCAAATTCAAACAGATTATCTAGCTCATCAAGCAAGGGAGTATCTGTATAGTGTGCGATGGAAGTAATGCCAGTAACTTCATTTCAGCATGCTAGCCATTATATTCTGTGACACTAACTTCCGTCATCCTCAACCTTTGCAGAGAGACGTGGCCATCCAAGAACTTAAATCTACCATTGTGGAATACTCCTCTGTAATTGAGGTACAGTTCTGTATTTTCCTTATAGGAGCATTAGGGAACATACAGATTTTAAAAAATTCTTCTATATAGCATGTGAACTTATGAGTTTGCTCTTTGTTGGATGTGATTCTAGGCCTTAAGAGTGGAAAAAAATAAACTGGTGAATAACATGCAACAAATGCAGCAAGAACTCATTTCGTGAGTATCTGAATTAGGAGTCCAGTAAAACATTCTCTCTTCCCCCTCCTGTTTCTCCAGGGGAAAAAACCCTGGATTTTTAACCTTGTTTGCTTCCCTCCCCTCCTTTTAGAAATGGCATATACTTCCCATTAATACACAGATTTAACAGCAGCGTCCTTGAAAGGACAAATTCATTGCACAGTGAATTGGAACTTGCGCAACAGTCTTCACAGGTATGAAACTTGAAGTTTAAATACTTCGAATCATTGCATCACTTATTAGCTATATGGGAAAGATACTTGTGACTCAATCAGTGTCGGTTATACACAGAGGAGTTATTAGTTATGAACAAAATAGGCCTGGAGTGTGAAGTCCACAAATCACCACATCAGTACTGCCAGTGCTATAACTTACCACATGCAGTAGGACTAGATCCATGGGCACTGGGGAGGAAGGGGAGGCATTGGTTAGTCTGTTCAGCATCCAATCTTACTTAAATCTTGGTGACTCTCTAAGCCTGTCAGTAAGTGTCAGTTGTATGGCGATTTATGTAATGTGGTCAAAACATGTAACTTGAGCTCGGCAAGCAATCTTGCACCAATAGTTTATTTACTAGAAAATGCAGCTTTGGTCAGCCTGGATGCAAAATCAACAAATAGCTTTGCCAAAAACTTATTTTCAGCACTTAGATTCCATTCATAAAACAGGAGGAAGAAAAGGAGGCCCAATAGCTATTCCTGGTCAGCTTTTAATGACTCTGAATTGTCTCTGACCATGAATAGCATTCAGGCCAAGGAAAGTAGGTGTCTCATAGACTGACAATTCTCCACCACACTAAGGGGACTGTCTCAGGCTGGGGCTATGCTACGGGATAAGATCGAAATTAAAATATGCACCTTCAGCTATGTTAATTGCGTAGCTGAAGTCTAAGTACATGAACTCGGCTTTTGGCGCTATCACACTGCAGGAAGTTAAAGGGAGAACACTCTCCCTTTGACTTCCCTTACTCCTCATGGAAGCAGGACTACTGTCATCGACTGGAGTGCCCATCTCTGTTCGAATTAGCGTGTCTTTCCTAGACCCGCTAATTTGAAACTTGGAAGATCGACTGCGGCAGCTTTGATCCTCTCTGGAGAGTAGACATCCCTTCAAAGTCCCTGTTCCAATGACTATTTAATTATAAAAAGTGGAAAACATTCAAAAGGAGAAATTGAGGGAGACTTAGACCAGAATATCCTATAGTCCAAAGGTTAGTGTTTTCTCCTACAATACAGAAGATCCAACTTCAAATACCGTTTCTACATCAGGCAAAAGAACCCAGGTTTCCCACACCCTCAATGGGCACCCTAATCTCTGGGATAAAGGTTTTGTAAGGAGAATGGGCAGATCTTGTCCTCGTCCTCCTCCTCCAGCTTCTTGTAAATCTAACACTATAAAAATGCACCAAACAATATTTCCAGAGGAATAAGAGGTTTCATTTGACACCAACTGGGTTTATTTACCAATTTTTTTCTACAGTTTTCTAATTTCACTTGACCCAGTTCCAGTTGTCAGACAACTGATAAATCCACTTTTTATGCAACTCTACTGGGTGCCTGTAAGTTGGGAACACTAACTCACCAGACTGAAATGGCTGCCTTCTGCTGGCTTTTCTGGTTCCTGCAAATGTGGGTTGGAATTGAACCAACCTAGTGGTAAGATTGAGAGACCTGACAACCGATACCCTTAGCTTTTTCAGAACACTTGAAAGGTATTGGGGTGGGGGAACCGCTTCTGTGTAGTGCAGTCCAAGTTCTAGTCCTGTGTGGCTTTGGCACTTTAAAGTCAGTCCTTCGAGAGGGAGGCACAGAATACTGTCCTTTTGCTATCCTGCAGCACTGCCTATTACAGACAGGAGAAGCTTGTACTTCTGTTACTGGTACACAACCTTATTAAAGGGGATCATTGCTATACCATATAAAATCTATAGTCCCACTAGATTGTACAATGACCAGTTTGTCCCGTTAGGCTTTTTCAGTGTTGTGTGGGGTTTTTTTGTGTTTTTTGTAAAAGAAAAATGGTGCTGGTACTCCGAGGGGGGAGGGGAGTT